TGGGGGGGGTGGTCCAGTCGTGGGGCCTGAACTCTGGGCCTGGGCGCTGTCCCTCAGCTCTTCAGCTCAAGGCTAGCGCTCTACCACTTGAACCATAGCACCACTTGTGGCTTTCTGAGTGGTTTATTGGAGATAAGAGTCTCATGCCCAAGCTGGTTTTGAACCACAATCCTCAGATTTCAGCCTCCTGAGTAGCTAGGATTACAGGCTTGACTCCCTGGCGCCCGGCTAAGAGGCCATTTTTAATTGCAGACATCAAGAGCTCAGATGCTCTGGGTCATGATCCTGCAGCAGTGTTCTTGATCTTTCAAATGTCTTTGTGAGGTATATGATTTCCTCACATACCACAAACCTACATTCCTAAATTAGGCTTTGACAGAGTGGCGAGGGCTTTAGGCCTGCGGACCTCTGCCTCAGGCATTCTTCTGTTTTCGCTATTAGGATTTTGGTCCTACAGTGTGAGTGCGCTCTGCACACGTCTCCTCCACCTGACTTGGTCACTCACTCAAGAGCGGGTCCCTACAAGAAGAGTTAGTAGATAGGCTGAAGCAGGTGGCTTTCCACACACATCATTTTGTTTTCCTTTGTCACCCTTCTGTCTGCATCTTCCCATGTCTTTGAATAGTGCTAGGTTTCGTTATGACTAAGGTAGTTGGAATGTCACAGGGTGAAGTTTTGGGAGGCTTTTAGACCTACACTGTGTAGAATTACCAGTGATTGCATACTGGATAGTTGTGAGGAAAGTAGCTGAGCTCTGTGACTCATGCCTGTAATCCCAGCTACTCAGAAGACTGAGATACACGGTTCACCGTTCAGATCTAGCCCAGGCAGAAATGTCTGTGAGACTCTCATCTCCAGTTAACCACCAAAAAGCCAGAAATGGAGCTGTGGCTCAAGTGGTAGAGCACAAGCCTTGAGTGAAAAAGCTAAGGGACAGTGCCAAGGCCCTGAGTTCAAGCCCCAGTAATCACACACACACACACACACACACACACACACACACACACACACACACACACACACACACACACACACACACACACACACACACACACACACAGGATTGGGTGCTATGTGGGTCTTAACATTGAATTGGCTTATTTTCTTTTGAGAGGATTTGAGTCCCCCCCCCCAACACTACTTTTTAAAGCATCACAAATGCTTATGTAAGAATGAAATTTTTACTTTAGGAGTTTTCTTCTGTGACTGGGCAGAAACACACCAAGACGAGCCCCGCACTTGGGGAGCTCATAAAAATAGCTTTGTTTTTCAGAGGAGCAGCCTGGCGTCCTGAAAAAGCACAGGCTGCCTGGAGTTTGCCGGGGCTGGTTTGTGATGTAAGCATGGGCGGATTAAAGGGTACCGAAGCGAGATCTGCAGCAGATGCAGCAGACAGTTCTTTCTGCGACTTGAGGCCTTGGCCTTTCCCCTAACCTCCCCTCCCCTTCTGTCAGAAGGAGGTTTATTTTTAGCCATCTGCCCTTGCGTGCGCAGAGGGGTGAGGAAAGCAGGCCATACCTTCCTCCACTCCCTTTGTGCCGTCCCCCCTCCCTGTGCCTTTCCTGCCCCCCACCTTTCCCCCTCCCTCCCCTTTCATCCTCCCCTCCCCCACTTCCCCCCTCCCCTCCCTCCTCCTCCCTCTCTTCCCCCTTCTCTCCCTCCTCTCTCCCTCCTTTGCAGCTGCTTTGTTGGCAAAGCCCAGATCCCATCACGGCCCACGTGAGGGAAGATTTAACCCTGCTCACCTTTATTTAGCTTTTCTATTAATAGCCAGAGATCTCAGTTAAAACTCCAAGTTGACTGCAAAGGCCAGGCCATTGGTGGGCGCTCAGGACCGCCCTCCACCTGCGCCTTCGTGAGTCACGCCTGCCTTGCTGGTGGCTGGGTTTCTGTCTCCAGGTACTGTTAGGTCGCCTGCTCAGTACTTTCGAGGTCATGGGTGGTGTTTTGTACGTGTTCTGCAGCTGAGCACAGGCACGTCCTAAGCGGAGTCCACTAAAAGAACCCGTTGCGTTGCCTTTGCTCTGGGAACTTCTGTGGACAAGGAATACAATTGAAGAGCAGCGGTGGCCGTTCCGCTGCCGTGTGCAGCCCTTCTGTCCCCACCCGGTGCTGCAGGAGCCGACCTTGGCTAGGCTCTCCGGTCCACGTGGGCCTGTTGACCGCATGGCAGCCTGGGTGACAAAGGTGCTCTGCGTCTTTATTTTAGGTCCAGGACCAGGACTCGCAGTGAATACCTGACGCTTTCACTCATTGGCTGGTGCTCTACCAATTCAATTAAGCCACGCCTCCAGCCCCAGTCTTTGCATCTTGGTGCACAGCTCTATCAGAGGCCTGCTGCATCTGTCACGGCCTCACGGGTGTGCGGTTGGGTGATCGCCTGCCTTAGAATGCACACAAAGTGCGGATTTTATAGGAATCTTCAGGTTGAAAACCCATCATTTTATACCTGAAATGCAGGTGGTTCTTCAGTGCCAGCTGCTTCAAATTCATACTCTCCAGTTTTGTATTTTCTATGCAGGCCAGAACTTTTACTTACTAGCTGGGCACTGTGGCACATGCTTATAGTCCCAGCCACCCAGGAGGCTGTGGCTCCTGAGCTTAGAAGGTTGAGACCCAACTTACTAAGACTCTCATCTAAGAAGCAGCAAGAGGCTGGAGTGCAGCTCCGTGCTAGAGGGTGAGCAGGCGCAAGGCCCTGAGTGGAATACCTAGAAATGCAGAACAGAAAGGTCAGAAACAAAACCCCAAACTGCATCTACAAGAAGCTTAAGAAATTGAACTCAAAGTTTAATTTTTTTAAGGTTTAAAGTTGCTTCCATTATTCTTTCTCTTAAAATCCCATGGTTTACTTACATGCACATACCCCCTTCCCCTTCACTCTCATTTTAAATCAGGCTGCTTTCCTAACTAAGTGGCGTTTTCCAGATCTGACAGTGATTCTAATGGTACAAGAAATCCCCTCATAAGCCAGGCTCCTGTGACTCACGCCTGTAATCCTAGCTACTCAGGAGGCTGAGATCTGAGGATCACGGTTCAAAGCCAGGTTCAAAGCCAGCCCGAGCAGAAAAGGCCCTGAGACTTTTATCTCTAGTAAACCACTCAGAAAACTGGAAGTGGCACTGTGGTAGAGCTCTAGCCTTGAGCTGAAGAGCTGAGGGACAGCGCCCAGGCCCAGAGTTCAAGCCCCATGACCAACAAAAATAAAAACCTCTCACAGTTCCCCGGACTGCCCTTCCCACAGATCTAAGCAGTGATTGAGAGTTCAAGGTCAGTAGAGTGGATGACCTTTCTGTTTTTTGTTTTTTAACCATTCCCAGGGCTTGAACTCAGGGCCTGAGCACTGTCCCTGAGCTTTTGTGCTCAAGGCTGATGCTTTGAGCCACACCTTCACTTCAGCTTCTTGGTAGTTAATCAGAGATAAGAGTCTCACAGACTTTCCTGTCTTGAGTTGGCTTTGAACCATGATGCTCAGATCTCAGCCTCCTGAGTACATGAGATTATAGGCATGAGCCACCAGCACCTAGCATGAATGATATTTCTGTTTGCTGGCCTGAAGATGATTGAGAAGTTTTGTTCTTTTTTGGTCAGCTGTGGGGCTTGAACTCTGGGCCTGGGCGCTGTCCGTCAGCTCTTCAGCTCAAGGCTAGCACTCTACCACTTGAGCCACAGCGCCACTTCTGCCTTTTTCTGCTTATGTGGTGCTGAGGAATCGAACCCAGGACCTCATGAATGCAAGGCAAGCTCTCTACCACTGAGCCACCTTCCCAGCCCGGAGAGGTTCTGTTCTAAAGAAGTTTCTGTGATGGCCCCACCAGCCATCCTATGATGTCAGGTGTTTGAGCGCAGCCTAACTCTGGTCATTCCTCAGGAAGGAGTAGCAGCGGGCTGTCGGCACAGGCTGGCACCCGGGGGTGAGATTGAGGAGTGTGTGCAGACAACACTTGATGAGGCTTTCGAAGAAGCAGAAGCGCTCACTCGCATTAGGTGCCGAAGCACCTTGTGACTCGGGATGGTTCAAGAATCACAGCGTCACGTGGCCTGGGAGTGTCCGCGAGATGCTCATCTCGGCTCCCAGCGCTCGGGCCCAGCAGCAGGCTCCTTGGGGCTCTAGTTCACCCTGGAGTTGAGCAAAACCATCCGGTACTGTTCAGTGAGCCTCTGGTTTTCCATCTTGGTCTTTGGGAAATAGTGTCACGAGTGCTAGTGGTTTCATTTTCCCCAGGGAGTGGACAGGGGTGAGGCGTGCAGGTTTGAGTCAGGTTGGGTTCAGATTCTAGCGTGGTCCCTTGTATGTCATTGGTGAATGCGGCTACGGTGAGCAAATGTGTTACTACCCCCGCCAGCCATGCCACTGGACAGGTGTCTGGACAGGTCGGCGCTACCCAGAAGCCCTCCGGGGGTGTGTATCCATCTGTCCTCACCATGTTAGAAATAGCTTGGGACGTTGGGGTGTTGATAGGAATAAGGACACCAACTCGAAAGGAACCCAGCAAAGCCAAGTTTACTTCCACTGATGGCGCACCATCAGCCAAAACTCTGGCAGATAGACACACAGAGCAGACCCGCGCTCCCTTTACATCCCTAACCCAGCAGGCCCCACCCCTCTGCTCCCATTGGCTGAGCTCAGATTCACAACCTGCAGAAGGATGGGGCCGAAATAACAGGTTGTAACTAAAATTCATGGCGCTTCTAACATGAGGTCTTAAGGTGTTCAGGAAAAGGATGTAACTAAAGCGTAGTTAGCAAGGGCCAAGCCACCTGGCCAGCTCAGGAACTTTCCAGAAAAACAATTCTCTCAAGAGTAACATGGTCAGCAGTATTGTTTGTCCACTCAGGCTCTCTTGGGCCACACCATCAGTTGCTATAAAGCAATGGGTGGAGCTGGGAAGCGTTTCAGCGTGGCTGGAGGAGCGGGCAGGTGGGTTGGGACACAGAACCCCCCTGCCCGCGGGGGCTGGGCGTCCGGAGTCTCACGGGTCTGGGGGCCGTGTGTGCAGGGGGCCGCCGGCATCCTGTGCTATGTGGGAGCCTATGTCTTCATCACCTACGATGACTACGACCACTTCTTCGAGGACGTGTACACGCTCATCCCGGCCGTGGTCATCATCGCGGTCGGCGCCCTCCTCTTCATCATCGGCCTCATCGGCTGCTGTGCCACCATCCGGGAAAGCCGCTGCGGCCTGGCCACGGTGCGTGGACCCGGCCACGGGCTCCTCGGAACTCCTGGGGGTGGGGGGCGGGGTTGGGAGTGTTGGCTCGTTTCGTTGCTGTGCTAATGGTATTGGTGGGCTTGAACTCAGGGCCGTGAGCGCTCCTGTGGCTTTTTATCAAGAGACTGGGTAGAGCTATTGTTTTTCTTTCCCTTATACTTACTTTTTGACAATTTTTTTCTTGCAGTTTGTCATCATCCTGCTCTTGGTTTTTGTCACAGAAGTGGTTGTTGTGGTTTTGGGATACATTTACAGAGCAAAGGTACGTTGTCTCCCGTGACTTACCTGATGCCTATTGTGTGTGTACCTGTGTGTGTGTGTGTGCACCAGTCCTGGTGGTTGAACTCAGAGCCTGGGCACTATCCCCCAGCTTTTTCACTCAAGGTGATCCTCTACCACTTGAGCCACACCTCCACTTCCAGCTTTTTGTTGGGCAATTGGAGATAGTCTCTCCAGTTTGTCTGCCTGGGCAGGCTTTGAATCTTGATCCTCAAATCTCAGCCTCCTGGGTAGCTAAGATTACCAAAGTGAGCTTAATCTTCTTGGCTGTAAGTATTTCATTTTCTTTTCTGTTACTTCAGAGGAAGCTCCTGCTGAGTAGCTGACAGGTGAGAAGTTCATTCATTTCTTTGGCCAGTGGAGTCCTGATACCATAGAGCGAGTGGAATACAGAAACTTCCTGTTTCATGAGGGTTTGATTTTTCGTTGCTACTTTAAGACATAGGAGATTTTCAGAATTGTGATCCTGCCTTTCACCCATCCTGAGGAAGAAGGCTTCTGCCAGTTTAGGGTGCAAAGGGCCTGTGGCCAGCACTTCCTTCTTGCCCTCCTTCTATTTTCTTCATCATTCCCTTCTCTTCCCTTTCTATTTAGCTCGTTTTTACTTTCTGCCTATAATTTCACTTAGTGCTAAACTGGCTGTTTTCATTACTTGTGTTATGTTAGCACCATGACAAAGAATGGAATCGGGATGGGAAGGTGGCTCAGTGGTAGAGCGCTTGCTTTGCATGCTTGAGGCCCTGGGTTCGATTCCTCAGCACCACATAAGCAAAAAGAAAAAGCTGGAAGTGGCGCTGTGGCTCAAGTGGTAGAGCGCTAGTCTTGAGCTGAAGAGCTGAGGGACAGCACCCAGGCCCAGAGTTCAGGCCCCACGGGACTGGACCAAAAAAAAAAGAATGGAATCATTCCCGTGTAAGTAAAGGCCTAATGGACCACGTTGGTACTCAAAGTAGGTTCTGTACCTATGATCTGGTTATGCCACCACTGGTAAAATTACCAAATGGTTCTAATTGGTTTGGAGGGGAATGAGGAGATCTGGTGGAACAAACTTTTATTACATGGCACTAATGCCATTTTTAAAATTTTTGGTTAATCATGGGGCTTAAACTCTGGGCCTGCGCGCTGTCCCTCAGCTCTTCAACTCAAGGGTAGCACTCTACTGCTTGAGCCACAGCGCCACTTCCAGTTTTCTGGTGGTTCATTGGAGATAAATTGAGTTTCATGGACTTTCCTGCCTGGGCTGGCTTTGAAGCATGGTCTTCAGATCTCAGCCTCCTGAGTAGCTAGGATGACAGGATTGAGCCACTGGTGCCTGGCAAATGCCATTTTTGTGAGTGGTGACAGCTGCATTTTCATGAAAATACAGATTCTAAGGACCTGCTGATTACTTTTGCATGTTTGGCTAAGTAAAAACATTGAATAAAGAGCAGTAAAAAAAATTTGTTTTAAATTTATTTTGTGCTAGTCCTGGGGCTTAAACTTGGCCTGAGCTGTCCCTGAGCTTTTTGCTCAAGGCTGGTACTCTATTACTTGAGCCATATTTCTACTTCCAGCTTTTTTGGTGATGGATCAGGTATAAGCCTCTCGTGGATTTTCCTGCCTGTCTGGCTTTGAATCACAGTCTCCAGATCTCAATGTCCTGAGCACCTAGAATGACAGCCAGGCATGAGCACCAGTGCACACCCTGCCCCAAATCGTCGTAGGAAAGGAACAGAAGCGAGTTTTCAGAGAACGTACTGGAAACTTACTGGGAACAGTGAAGGCATCGCTCACAGTGGAGGGTGTGTGTTGCGGCGCTCCTCACTCGCTCTCCTCTCCGTCTCATACCTAGTCTCTCGTGTGATGGATGTCCTGTAGCTGAATGCTTGCCTGTCTGTTCGAATCTGCGTGAAGGCAAGAAGGGAGACATTCACAGTTTACTTCGCCTGGACCACTGTTATTCTTTGTCTTGGTTCAGGTGGAGAACGAGGTTGACCGCAGCATCCAGAAAGTGTACAAGACCTACAATGGAACCAACCCTGACGCTGCCAGCCGGGCCATCGACTATGTACAGAGACAGGTGAGCCTGTGGCGCCCTCCTGTGGCGGGACATGGCATCACCTCCGCCACTGCTGCCTAGCACCTTCCCTGCGTGCTTGACCTTGATGTGCGCACGCTTTCCCCCAGGCTGAGCCATGGGAAGCATATCCCACCGGGACCCGGTCCAAGACAGTTAGCAACAACATCTCAGACCTTTTTTTCTGTGTGCCAGTACTGGGGCTTGAACTCAGGGCCGTGTACTCTCCCTTAGCTTTTTCCCACTCAAGGCTGGTGCTCTGCCATTTGAGCCACAGCTTTTTGTTGGTTGGAGATGAGAGTCTTGGATTTGTCTGCCAGGGCTGGCTTCTAACTGTGATCCTCAAATCTCAGCCTCCTCAGTAGCTAGGAGTAGAGGCTTGAGCCACCTGTGCCTGGCTAGCATTTCCTTTATTGTAGAAAGTTCTGTTGGACATCACTGATCTAGAATAGCATATTTCAAAACTCTACAGTACATGAAACTCTGAAGCTCAGCGTGTGGACGTACATGTATCTTGTCAGGGAATAATGAATACATCCATTCTCTCCTCCAGTTGCACTGTTGTGGAATTCATAACTACTCAGACTGGGAAAATACAGACTGGTTCAAAGAAACCAAAAACCAGAGTGTCCCTCTGAGCTGCTGCAGAGAGACTGCCAGCAGCTGTAATGGCAGCCTGGCCAGGCCCTCGGACCTCTACGCTGAGGTGAGTCCAGCCCAACCTCCTGACCTGCCAGCAGCCCACCCCCTGCACCTCCGCTCCACCCTTGAGTGCTGTCTTAGCATTTCTGGTGTTCTGTTGTGGTTGCGTGCGTTTCAGTCGCTTTACCCAGGCAGCCCTGTAATCGCACCTTCCATTCCCATTCCTTCCAGCAAGTAGTAGCCTGTGACTCTTGGCTCTGCTTTGCAAAGATGCTGATGAGGATAACTGTGTGTTGCAGGGCTGTGAGGCTCTGGTTGTGAAGAAGCTGCAAGAAATCATGATGCATGTGATCTGGGCAGCGTTGGCCTTTGCAGCGATCCAGGTGAGCGCACAGGTAGCCACCGAGCTGTGGTCAGCCCCAGCTGTGAGCCCCAAATAGGGTTTTTTTTTTTTTTTTTTTTTTATGGTTGTGGGCTAGAACTCTGGGCCTGGGCGCTGTCCCTCAGTGCTTAGCTCAAGGCGAGCGCTCTACCACTTGAGGCACAGTGCCACTTCCGGTTTTCTGGTGTTTAAGGAGATAAGAGTCTCATGGACTTTCCTGCTCCGGCTGACTTTGAACCACGATCCTCAGATCTCGGCCTTCTAAGTAGCTAGGATGACAGGCGTGAGCCACTGGAGCCCAGAATAGTTTTAAGCACAAAGTAGTAGTGAGAATCTTGGTGGACACAGGTAACCTGGAAGTGATGGGAATAACACTGTCTACTCGGGAAGTGGTGGGGATATTCTGGTTCAACATCTTGTCTCTAGTCCCAGTCCCAGAAGGATGAAAAACTCTGTGATCTGGATGCAGACACACTGGACAGAGGCTCTGCTTTATTTCCTTGCCTTGCAAACAACTATTGTTGTGGGAGATGTCATTTTCCTGCTGAGATTGTTTCTATAGCTTCCACGCCTACTGTCAGTGTATTGCGGAATCCTTCTCTCTCATGCCTCCTTTCCCCTTCTCTCTTCCCCAGGCACATATTTTAATAGCGTGGGGGAGGCCATACTAGGTTTCAACTTAGGTCCCCACAATCAACTAAGCAGGTACTTCACTGCTGAGCAAAACCTCTAGCCCTGAACCTCACAGTTTGTTTGTTTTTTTTTAAGTCTCATTGCTTTATCTTAGAAATGGAAAGCTTCATTTCAGTTTTCTTTGTGTAGTCTTTCTCTTTTGAATTTTTTTTTGGGGGGGTCCGGTTGTGAGGCCTGAACTCTGGGCCAGGGCGCTGTCCCTCAGCTCTTCAGCTCAAGGCTAGCGCTCTACTAGTTGAGCCACAGCGCCACTTCCAGCTTTTCTTTTTGCTTATGTGGTGCTGAGGAATTGAACCCAGGGCCTCAGGCATGCAAGGCAAGCGCTCTACCACTGAGCCACCTTCCCAGCCCCTCTTTTGAATTTTTATTTTCCTGTCCTTAAGATTTTATTTGTCTGGAATTTGAATTCTGTCTTGTGCTAGCATGGCTGGCAATCTACCACTTGAGCCACATCTCCAGCCCTGTTTCTTGCTGGTTATTTTCAAAAAAGTGCTGACCTTGGCCTTGAACTGAGATCCTTCTGCTTCCAGCCTTCTGAAAAGCTAGGATTGTGTGAGTGTGTGTGAGCCACCAGTGTCTAGCTTGCAGGTTTTCTTTGCAGTTTTTTAATTCTTATTTTTGTGGTGCTGAGGATTGAACACTGTGCTTCATGTGTGTCAGACAAGCCTGCCACTGAGCCATTTCTCATAAACACTAAATTAAGTGTTATTATTTTATTGAGGAAGAGTCTCACTATGTTGGCCTGTGCTGGGTCTGAAATCCTGGGCTTACGTGATCTTCCTGCCTCAGACTCCTAAGTAGCTGAAAAGCGGTGCAGGCCCTCCTCTTCCCCCCCCCCCCCCCCCCCCCCGACTCCCTGAAACTTTGGTCGCTTAGTCTTCACAGTGTTTCTTTTAAGAAATGCTTTTTTTTTTGGCTTGACAGAAAAGACTCCCCTGTAATAACTGAGGTTGACACTTTAGTATTCATGGCTTCATTCTTAATTCTTCCCAACGGCCCCTCATGCGGTGCCGTTGGCGCATGGCAGCGCTGCTGCTGGTATCGTGAGGGTCCTTGTGCAGCAGCGTGGCTGGCGGCGGCTCCCGGTGCCTTCCACTTTATCCACAAGCTTCCAGTCCCATTCTCCTCGGGCCCACTGCTTATACCTCTCACCCCAGTGAAAAGTAATTGACTACGCCAGGCGCTGGTGACAGACCTGCGATCCTAGCGACTCAGGAGGCTTGAGATCTGAGAATCGCTTTCAGAGCCAGCCCCGGCAGTTAGATCCTCGAAACTCCCACCTTCAAGTAACCAGCAAAATGCTGCACAGGAGGTATGGATCAAGTGGTAGAGCACTAGCCTTGAGGGAAAAAGCTGAGCAAGAGTACAAAGTCCTGAGTTCAAGCCCAGTACTGGCCAAGAAACAAATAAGTTCTTGAAACAGGCTTCAAGCTTAAAGGATGTATTTTAAGAAGGTGTGGGATATCTTTAACTTGTTAGATTAAAGCCCGTGTAATTGCTAGATTAAGCGTAAGGTACTAGAGGGCCTGCCCTTGGTCTGTTTGAACTGGAGCTGGTACTGCCGGACAGAAAACACCCTTCCACTGGCAGGATGGTAACAGTTCACTCTGCTGATCATCACTCAGACAGCCCTGAAATGATTTATTGTGATCCTAGCTCTATTTGCTATGGTCTCTGGCCTCCTGAGCATGTTCTTTGCAGCTCAGGAGCAGTAATCTAGTGATCAGCAGGGATGTGTTTCATATTTTGATCATCTGTACAAATATTCAGCTCACTGAAAATCATAGGCTACGAAGGAGGTCTCTTTCCAGGCAAATCCCAGGCTGTGCGTCCTTAATGATAATAAGCCACACTTATTAGCATGCAGCAGAACATTCTGGAATGACTCGCTGCTTATGCTCCTGGCACGCTGTGTGTAGACGCTGAAAGGCGGGCTTGGCCCTGTCACTCATCCGGCCATGTGGTTGGCCAGTCAGGTGTTTTGCTCTGCTCCTACCACCTGCCGCCTGCATGTTACACTTAAATCACCCACCCAGGGAAAAGAGGCTAAAGACTGGATTTTTTCCTTTCCAGTTGAAAAAGCCTAAGTCACGATCCAAAGCTTCCACAGAGTTTTCACTTGTCAAAACCTAAAGGTTTTAAAAATGAAAAACATGTATAAACACTAGTTTCAAGAGGGGTGAAATCACCTGAAATAACCCAGAAGTTTTCCCTAATTGTATTTTCTTTTTTTAAAGCATGCCTAGAAAGGTTTTCATCTTTTGATACTCAAATTATCTATCTGTGTCCTATGTGTGAGAAGCAGAACAAAGAGAGAGAGAATGCCACGGTATCTGGAGCTTTGTGCTTGTACACCAATCCAGATGGAAATTTATGGAGATTTCCATCATAAATATGGAAATTTAGAGCTTGAAAGAGAGAAAGAAAGGGAGATTCTCTGGTCCTCAGCCCCTTGTTTGCCAGCAGAGCAGGGATAGCAAGTAATGCAACTTGTGACACTTCCGCTGCTCAGACAGGAGCCGACCCAAGCCTGCCCCAGGAGCCAGGCCAAACTCCTAATTCTATTAGAGGGGCTGATGATTGACACTTCAGTTAGATAAAATCTAGAGATGAGCTAGCTCCGTGGCTCACACCCGTCATCCCAGCTGCACAGGAGGCTGAGAGCTGAGGGTCTGGGAAGAAGAAGGACGGACCACTGTGCAGTCTGGTTTGCAGAGCTCTGACTGCACAAGAGAGGCAGCCTGCTGGCAGAAATAGGAGCTGGTTTCCCCCAGCAAATCAGTGATTGCTAGAGGCCCATGATTTTATCGCTCAGTTTGCCATGGGAGCCTCTGTTTGGTTTTACAGCTTTTGGAAGATTGATTTGATGTACAGTGAATAGAAATGAGTTTCTTTCTCTAGGAAGCAGATACTAAATAATATGCACCATTAGCTTCAGATATTTAGTAAATGTTGAGCAACATGTACTGAAAATGTCTTTAAGGAGCTTTATTATGTTTGTGTGTGTATGACAGTACTGGGGCTTGAACTCAGGGCCTGCACACTGCCCCTTAGCTTTTTTCAAAGCTCTACCACTTGAGCTATACACCTCCACTTCAGGCTTTTGCTGGCTAATTGCAGATAAGAGCTCCACAGACTTTGCTGCGTAGTCTGGCTTCAAACTATGATCCTCAGATCTCAGCTTCCTGAGTAGCTAGGATTACAAGTGTGAGCCATGGCACCTGTTTTAAGTTGCTTTGAACTAGCAAGCACTAACATCAGCAGGTGTTAAATGTCTGGTGGGTCTGGGTGGTCCTGAGTGGGTTAGTGGCTAGAGTGAAGGAGTGTGTGGCTTTAAACCTAAGAATTCAGATTCAGGACATCTCCCTCTTGGTTTCTGTTTCGTGGTAACCGTCTTTTCAGATAGATCCCGCGTGTCTGTTTATGGACCAGGTGCCTTTGCTGAAATTAGATCGGCCCTTTGAAATGAAATAAATAGCTGGGCCTCTAGGCTGTCAGTGAGGCGTTAGAACAGCAAATTAACTTTCCTTGAGCCCTTTGCTTACTGTTTATGTTTTCTAAGAAGCTGGGTCAAAATTTCTGGAATCATTTTCTCTTTAATCCATCTTAATCCTCCTACTTTCCCAAAGAACAGCCTGACTTTGTTCCTGCTCCAGGGTGGGCTACTGCAGAAGGATTAGGCCTTATTAAAATGCAACAGCGAGGCAAGAGTGACCTTTAAAAGCTCAGCGCATGCGTGCAGTGTCACACAACCAGGCCTGCAGCTTAGACGGGGACTGTGAAAGAAATGGAAACTTCCCTCAACACGTTTTAGCCCAGGTTTGGTTTAACACCATGGAGCTGTTTGTGGACTGAATTTTGTGTGTTGGAAATAAGGCTTTCCTCCCCCAAATCTAGATGCTGAAAAGACCACCATGAAACTTACCGTCCCTTAAAAAAGTTGATTTGTGCCTGTACTGGTGGTGAACTTGGGCCCTCTGGCTCAGATCACCAGAATCCGACGTGCTGGCCGGTGTTGGTGGCTCACAGCTGTCATCCCGGCGCTGGCCTTCACAGCCGCCTGGACCGCCCAGAAAAGCCAGACGCGGAAGTTTGGCCCAAGTGGTAGAGCAAAAAAGCTTAAGGGAGAGCGCCCAGGCCCGGAGTTCAAGTCCCAGTACCGGCACCGAACGTGCCCGCGGGAGGGCTGACTGCGGAGGGGGGCTGACTGCGGAGGGGGGCTGACTGCGGAGGGGGGCTGACTGCGGAGGGGGGCTGACTGCGGGAGGGGGGCTGACTGCGGGAGGGGGGCTGACTGCGGGAGGGGGGCTGACTGCGGAGGGGGGCTGACTGCGGGAGGGGGCTGACTGCGGAGGGGGGCTGACTGCGGGAGGGGGGCTGACTGCGGGAGGGGGGCTGACTGCGGGAGGGGGGCTGGCGGTGGGAGGGGGGCTGACTGCGGGAGGGGGACGGGACGGCTGAGGGGGGCTGGCGGTGGGAGGGGGGCTGACTGCGGGAGGGGGGCTGACTGCGGGAGGGGGGCTGACTGCGGGAGGGGGGCTGACTGCGGGAGGGGGGCTGACTGCGGAGGGGGGCTGACTGCGGGAGGGGGCTGACTGCGGAGGGGGGCTGACTGCGGGAGGGGGGCTGACTGCGGGAGGGGGGCTGGCGGTGGGAGGGGGGCTGACTGCGGGAGGGGGACGGGACGGCTGAGGGGGGCTGGCGGTGGGAGGGGGGCTGACTGCGGGAGGGGGGCTGACTGCGGAGGGGGGCTGACTGCGGGAGGGGGGCTGACTGCGGGAGGGGGGCTGGCGGCGGGAGGGGGGCTGGCGGCGGGAGGGGGGCTGACTGCGGGAGGGGGGCTGGCGGCGGGAGGGGGGCTGGCGGCGGGAGGGGGGCTAACTGCGGGAGGGGGGCTGGCGGCGGAGGGGGGCTGGCGGCGGGAGGGGGGCTGGCGGCGGGAGGGGCTGGCGGTGGAGCGCTGACGCGCGCCTTTGTTCCGCAGCTGCTGGGCATGCTGTGCGCCTGCGTGGTGCTGTGCCGGCGGAGCCGCGACCCCTCCTACGAGCTGCTCATCACCGGGGGCACCTACGCCTAGGGCCGCGCTCTGATTGGCAGGTGGCGGGCCCGCCCCTCCGCGCCCCCCAGCGCACGCGCACTGCTGCCGGAGCGGCCCCTCCCAGTGCCGGCCGAGTCTCCGTGTTAGCCGGGGAGGGGGCGGGGGGGGGGGGGGGGCGGAGGCCTGGGCGCCGCCCGGCCCGGCCCCGGGTCCCGAAGGCCCCGACGCCAACCTGGTTCAAGCGGACGCCGCCCCGGCCCCTCGCCACGTCCTTCCGAACACAGCCCCGGCCCGGCGACCGCCCGGCCCGCCCCGAACACAGCCCCGGCCCGGCGACCGCCCGGCCCGGCCGCCTAGACTAGCGCAGACCCGCTCCCTGTAAATAGGAAAGCCCCAATAAACGCGTCCTCCCCCCACACACAGTCGTGCGCGCACGTGTGCCCTCCGCGTGCTCTCGGTGTGCCCTCGTGTGCCCCCCGCGGACGCCCTGCCCGGCCACGCCCCCTCCGCGGACCCCCCCCTGCCCGGCCACGCCCCCTCCGCGGACCCCCCCCCTGCCCGGCCACGCCCCCTCCGCGGACCCCCCCCCTGCCCGGCCACGCCCCCTCCGCGGACCCCTTGCCCGGCCACGCCCCCTCGTCACGGGCCGCGGGGCCGCACGGCGGGGCCGCGGCTGGCTCGGCCTGCTCCGGGGAGGGACGCTCGGGAGGTGAGATCCACGGGAGGTGAGATCCGAGCGTCAGGTGGGGCCGGCCCAGGCGGCAAAGGCCCTGAGCCTCGCGTCGCCACCGAGCCAGAAGAAAGCCCGGAGCAAAGCTGTGGTTCAAGTAGTAGAGCGCCAGCTTAGAGCCAGAAAAGCGCGGGACGGTGCCAGGCCTGGTGCAGGCTCCAGTGCTGCCGAAAGGCGCTGCCGGCGCGGCCGGCCGGGGACGCCGCCAGGGCCTCCCCAATCCCACCCCGCCCCGCCAGGGCCCCCGCCCCGCCCCGCCAGGGCCCCCTCCCCGTCCCACCCCGCCCCGCCAGGGCCCCCCCCCCCCGTTCCGCCCCGCCCCGCCAGGGCCCCCCCCCCGTCCCACCCCGCCAGGGCCCCCCCCCCCGCCCCGCCCCGCCCGCTGCGCCGTCGCGTGGCAGGCGTCCGCGTACACACGGGCGCGGTGAGCTGTGGGGGGGAAGGAGTCCACACACCAGCACTGCGCCCTTCCCAGCCCGGCCCCGCTGCCCTCCCTCATCTGCAGGTGAGGGTGGCGCTGCTCCCCGTGTCGCCGCCAGGTGTGTTCCAGCTGCCTCCGCAGGTGATGGCGCCCGAGTTTGGAGTTCTGCTGTTTGCCCTGTGCGATAGGTTGTCTTGGTCTCCTTTCCTTTTTTGGGGGGAGGTGGGGGGGGCGGAGCGACAGAAGCAGCTAGCTGTAGGAAGAATGCACCTCCAGCCATCTTCGTGATTTACTTTCCCTCTGTGTGACAGTCCTCACACACACTCGTGCTTGGCTGCTCTTCTGTTCAAGTCTGGCGCTCTACCACTTGCGCCCCAGCTTCCCTTCCCAGCTACTGATGGGCATTGACAGTAAGAGGCTCCTGGATTTGTCTGCCCCAGCGGGATTCAAACCCTGAGCCTCTGACCCTAGCTCCGAAGTAGCAAGGATTACAGGTGTAGGCCACTAGTGCCTGACTTGCTCTTTATTTGTACAGGTCTTACCAGAATTTACTTAGGAGACTTCTCAGAGGCCACCGTGAGCGCCCTGGCTGGCCGCAGGTGGTTAGGAGGTCACCTGCTGGTGGTGTCCAGCAGCCTTGGAAATAATGCTTCTGTGACTCATTCTGATGTCTAAGGTCTCAGGCATGTTGTATAGTGGTTATGCAGAAACCCATGTTTCTGAACCCCTTTCTGGATGGCGTTGGGATCTTGCGAGTCATTGGGGAGTTAAGTATAGTGACAGTTACAGTGCAGGGTAGAAGACAGATGGTTAATTGGTAAGAAGAGTCTCACACATTTCCCTGCCAGGCTGGCTTTCAACCTTGATCCTCAGATCTCAGCCTCCTAACTAGTTAAGATTACAGGCGCACCACCAGTGTCTGGCCCCATCTGGGTTGCTCCTGGGACTCCGGGCAGGCCTGGCTGGGGTGGGCACCACTTCCGGCTTGGGCAGGTCCTGTTACAGACAGGAAGTCCTGCCAACGCCCCCAGCTGCACCCCTCAGCCACGGTGAGTCAAGGGTGGCCCGTGATCAGCCTTTGTGAGACGTTCCACGGAGGGCCAGCATGTGCAGCCCCCAGCGCCTCCGCGGCCTCCCCACCATCTCTGCCCCCCTCTGGCACCAGGCAGGGATGGGCGAGCTTGGCTCCCAGGGACCTGCTCCCTGGGGACTCTCGTGCCCCTGCCTGGCCCCGACCCTGGCCCCGCGCTGCAGGCTTGCAAGGCACCCCCTGTGCCAAGACAGGAGCGGCCACAGTCGCACTTGGACACACGCCCTTTGTCCCCAGGAGCCATGCTTGTTTAACTCAACCTGGCTTTTTGCTCAGGCAGTGCTGAGCAGCGCCCCTCACGCTTTCCAAGGGCCAAGCGTGCCCCTGGCCCGACTCTGCTGCACACACAGGGGGGGGGGGTACAGGCGTGTGCCGCCTGCTAGAATGCAGCCAGGCAGAGCCCCGAGAGCAGCCCCGGCCGCAGCTACCACTCCGAGGTGTTGAAGGCAGAACTCCAGGTGGTGGGGGAGGCGTGGCCCCCCATCATGGCCTCTGCCATTTGCCCACAGCCTGTGTCACTCTTGTAATCTGGAAGCTCAGCTCAGGCCTTTTCTCTGCCCCTAGAAGAACTTGGAAGAGTCGGGGGGCTGGGCACCAGTGGCTCACCCCTGTCATCCCAGCTACTCAGGAGGCTGAGATCGGAGGATTGAGGTTCAAAGCCAACTGGAGCAGGAAAGTTTGAGACTAGCAAAAAAAAAAACAAATGGAGGTATGGCTCAAGTAGTAGAGCACCAACCTTGAATGAAAAAGCTAAGGGACAGAGCCAGGGCCAAGTTCAAGGGCCCAGGACCAGCACCAGAAATGAAAACTCCCTTCCCCCTCCTCTGCCTCTGAGTTGCGTCCTGAGCACTGTGGCAAGAGGAAGGCTGAGCAGACCAGAGAGCGAGGACGCTCCTTTATTTCCTGAGCAGACCAGAGGGCGAGGACACTCCTTTATTTCCTGTGGGAGCAGCCAGCACTGCCCCATGTCCAGGAGACAAGGCTGGGGGGGGAGCGGGGTCCCCGCAGGGGCTTCCCTGCAGCGCTGGCAGCCCTGGTGGGCGCGGCTGCCTTCACAGCTTCTCCAGGTAGGACCCAGGGACAAAGCCACGCTGCCCGTTCCGTTCCACCGTCCACCAGCCGTCCTCCCCTTCCAGGACGACCACCAGGACATCACCAGCACAAAGGTCCAGCTCGTCGGAGTTCTGCCCAGGAGGAGCAAGCGTGGGGCCCAGGCCACCCAGCATGGCCCAGAGGGTCCCGGGGGCGACGAGCTTCCACAGCTGACCGTGCTGACCGCGCCCCACAGCGCCCCCTGCTGCCCAGCCCGGCGCATCCCCAGCCACGGGGCCGTGTAACCTAACCTCCCCACCTTCTGCTGAGGGCTGGGCTGTGCGCCTATGCGCCTGAGCTTGGCCTCCATTAGCGCCCGCACCCAGCCGCCTAGCCACGCCGGGGCACCTCCGCCAAGGGGGCTCTGGGTTCCTGTTCCGCACCCCTCAGGGCTGGAGGCACGGTGTGGTTGGACATAGATCATCAGTTCTAGCTTGGCCAGAGGATTCTCGTTGGCCATGATGGTTCTCTGCACCAATGGTCAGAGGACGAGGCCCGGGCTCTGCCAGCCTGCGTGGGGGCACCATGCGCACACCCGGGCACTGGGCCCTCCCAGGCAGGGCTCACCTGGGCTTTGTAGTCGTAGAGCGCGCGGTAGTCCCGGGCTGGCAGATGGTGATTTCCCTGTGTGCCCTGCACGCTGATGGCTGTGTACGTGACCTCGTCATACCCTGGGGCGGTGGCCAGGGTCTCTGTGGAGGCTGCAAGCAGGATGAGGCCTGGCCTCCGCCCTTTCTAAGGGCTGGGCCTCCCCTGCCGCTCCCTTCCCCCCTCCCTGCAGTCACTGCGTAGAGCGCCGGCGTCACCCAGTTACCAGCGTGGGCCTGCGTGGACGTGGTCTTGGGACTTGCGTGAAGCAGGCCGGAGAACCTGGGGTCAGGGAAGAGAGGCAGGGAGGCCCATCGAGGTGTCTCAGGGTCCTCTGCTAGGGCTGGGCTCCCCCGGCTCCCAGGGATGGATGGTTCAGGGGTGTCCCTCGGGCAGGAGCCCCCAAAGAGGATTAGTCCCTACAGCGCCTCCTATTCTCCCCTGTGGATCAGCAAGGCACCTGCCGCCGGCCAGGAGGGGCTCATCCACTACTACTCAGGAGGCTGTTCGAAGCCAGCCCCGGCAAGAGGATATGAGCCTCTTATCTTCAGTTAACCGGCAAAAAGCCCAAAGGGGAGCTGTGGCCCAAGTCCTGAGCACCAAAGTTCAGGGACGACACCCAGGCCCTGAGTTCAGGCCCCAGGACCCGAACACAAAGCCCAGGTCTCCATTCTTGACATCTCCCTTCCAGAAAAGCCGCCCGTCCAAGCTCAGCACGCTCCATCCCTTGTCCCCCCTTGGCCAGACCCAGGTCCCATGTGGGGCCCCACATTAGGCCTGGGCCTCAGACCACTGCAGATAGCCTGGAGAGTTCTGGAAGGCTCTCTGCCCATGCTCCTATGCATTTACTGCTGTAGCCTGGGGGTCCAGGATGCCAGCCCAGCCTCCTCAGGATGGAGCCTGCGCAGAGCTGAGCAGCTGCTAGCGCCTGCGGGAGTGTGGCTTAATGTTTCCTGCTCAGGTCCCAGGGATGGAGGGCGACACGGGGCGGACTGGGCCTGTCTCATCCACTGGGGCTAGTCCCTGAGCGCAGCACCGGCACCAGGGTCTGCACTGTGTGAGTGCCAGAGGCCATGCGGGCCGGCGCACTCCTAGCCCACTGCGCTGCCCCAGCCTCAGTGTCCTGTCTGTGGTGTCTCACCTCTTGATCATGCCGCAGGCCAGTGGCACGCCCGGGCTGCCAGCCAGCGGGGTGACTTCCCGGTCGTAGTAGTTCTGGTATGGCACTGGAGCTGTGGCAGACGGCAAAGCCCATGAGGCCCCGGGACGGAGCCGGGGTTCTCTGCACCCAGCCCAGGCCCCACACTCCCTTCTGGGCCCGGACCATCCTGGGGCTCGTGTGGGAGAATCCCCCATGCTATGTGTGCCCCAAGAATGCATGGGCAGCCAGCCAGACGCTGGTGGCTCACAGCCGTCATCCTACTAGCAAGGCTGGGAGCTGAGGATCGCGGGTCAAAGCCAGCCCTGGCAGGAAAGTCCCTGAGACTCTTATCTTCAGTGAACCACCAGAAAATGGATGTGGCACTGTGGCTCAAAGTGACAGCACTAAGCCTTGAGCAAAAGAGCTGAGGGACAGCGCCCAGGCCCTGAGTTCAAGCCCCACACCACCACCAAAGAGCCTGGAGGAGGGGGAGGGAAGTTGGCTCACCCGGGGGCTCCGTGCCCGTGCTCTTGGCCTGGATGAAGCTGTTGATGTCTGTGTCCACACTGCACCCCTCCAGTGTCAGCCGCACCTCCTCATAGAGCTGGGGGTGGGGGAGCGGAGGCTGGAGGCCAGCCTCCACCCCGCATCCACACCCCCTCCGCAGCCCACACCCCAACCTGGCCTCCCCACCGCCCAGCCCCAAGCTGAGGCACCGTGTGGGCTGTGCCTGCCTGTGCCAGGGCCTAGAGCCCCGCCCTCCGCTTCCCGAACCCCAGGCTCCGTCCAGCCTCCAAGGGAGGAATCTCCGCGCGCACGCTCACACACACACACACACACACACACGCACGCACGCACGCACGCACGCGCCTGCCAGGAGCACTAAGCCAGATTCCAGGCCCCGTGGGGTTCAGGGTCCCTAACCTGGGGAGGGGGCTGGAGGCTGGGGTCCCAGAGGACGCACTGACACACTGGTGGACGTGGGGTGCAGCCCCCCGCACCCCGGCCCCCCCACCTCGTCATCTCTGACGCACTGCATGGAGAGCTGGTTGCAGTGAACCCACAGGGCGTTCCTGAGAATGGTCAGCCGGTCAAACTCCTGGAGCTGGAAGGCCTGGGGGGTGGAGGGGGCAGGAGAAGAGGGTTTGGGGTCCCCCGGGGCCACAGCCACACGGGGGGGGGGGGCTTCATTGAGATAGTCTTCCAGGCTGGCTTTGAACTGTGATCTTCAGCTCAACTGCAGGCGTGCGCTACTGTGCCCGGCGTGGCTCAGCCTGGGGCCCCTGTCATTAGGGCCAGGGAAGCCCAGGGTGGTCGGAGCAAGGGGGGGTCCCCCCCTCTGCCACTGGGGAAACCGAGGCGGCGCGCAGCCCTCACCTCGCAGGTGGCCCGGTGCTCCTGCTCCCACTCGCCCCTCAGCCTCTCCAGCTGCTCGATGCTCTGCCTGTACACTCGTTCTAGAAGCAGAGCGGCCTTCAGGCGGGCCAGGCTGCCCCCCCCCCACGCCCTCACAAATGGGAAACTAAGGCAGCCAGGCGGGGGAAGGAGGCTGTCTGGGCCTGTGGGGCTGGGAACCCACAGAGCTTTGGGTCATGACCCCTTGAGATTCCGGGGGGTCCCCTGCCTCCTGCCCTCCCCCTCCGCAGCCCGCTGGCGGCAGGCGCCCAGGACCACGCACCTGCCTCAGTTGCTGAGTCTTTGCACTGCTTGGCTTTATTCTGGCTCTGCGGGGAGGGAGGGAGGCCGGCGCTGAGGGGGGGGCCATCAGCCCCCACCCCCCTCTGGGCACCCAGGGGACACCGAGGCCTCGCCCACCAGGACCAGGCTGTTTCCCATGAAAAGGGAATCCAAATGGCCAGTGAGCCGGACATGGCGGCTGGAGCCTGGCATCTTAGCTCCCTGGGAGGCAGGCACTGGAGGATCATGGTTGGAGGCCAGCCTGGGCAAAACAAGAAGTTCTCAAGACTTCATCTCAGCCCTTGGCTGGGGGCAGTCACACACGCCTGTCACCCCGGCGGTGGCAGCAAAGGAAAGCACAAAGAGGACCACAGGCCGGGCGGGCATCAAGCAAGACACTGTCTTGAAAAGATGACAGAAAAATGGGCGGGTGGCAGCGCAGGGGCGGGAGCGTGCGCAGTGAGCGCGAGGCCGCGGGTTCAAACCCCAGGGCGGTCGGGAGCTGCGCCTCGGCGTCCCCGTCGGTGTGACGGTGACACCCACCCTGCCCAGAGCCCCGAGCAGCCGGGAGCTCGGGCCCCGGGCCAGCTACACTTCCACCCTTCTCTGGGACATCCTGGGCCTCAGTTTCCCTGCAGGGATTGCTGACCATCCCGCGTCTGGGGGAGGGACGGGACTGGACTTGCATGGGGCAGATCGGGGGTGTCTGCCCACCACCAGCCCCGCGATCGCACCTTCTCTATCTGCTTCTGGGGGGCGCCGGCGCCCAGGCGGCCCGCGGCCTGCTCAGCGTCGTCCGCGTCGCGACACTTCTGCTCATACGCCTTCTTGCACTGTGGGGAGGGGAGGGGTGAGTGGGGAGGGTCAGGCCCTCTGCCCTGGGGGGTGAGGGAGGGGCAGCCCGTGGGGATGGGGCTCTGGGGTCAGAGGCCCCCCCGTGCGGCCCCAGCAGGCCCAGCGCACCCCACATGCGCGCTCACCTCCATGGCCTTCTTGTAGAGCGACAGCTTGCTCTTCTGCACACGGTCCATGACCGCCTCGTACTGCAGGGGACACGGGCTCTGAGTCTAGCGGGAGGGGCGGGGGGGGGTGCCCTCCCTGCTTTAGGGTGCTGGCCCTCTCCCAGAGCCGCCACTGGCTCAGACAGGCCAGAGAGAAGCCCAGGCTGGCGGCTCACACCTGTAATCTGAGCTGCTCAGGAGGCTGAAATAGGAGGATCATGGTTCAACACCGAAACTCTATCTCCGGTGAACCACCAGAAAACCAGAAGTGGAGCTGTGACTCAGAGCGCCAGCCTTGAGTGGAGGAGCTCAGAGACAGCGCCTGTGTGCCGAGTTCAAACCCCACAACTGGCCAACAACCCTCAAGCTATAGATCAACGCGTGTGTGCGTGCACACACACGCACATACACACTCACACAGCTGGGTACAGATTCATTGTATTGCTCATTCTCAGGGCTTTGGCAGTGGTCTGCCGCTCACCGTAGCCAGGGCACCAGCCCCTCCCTGGGGCTCTGGGAAGCAGTTCGGCCTCACATCCAGGTCCTCCCTGCCAGGCCTCCCTTAGGAGCCCAGGCCCAGCACTGGATCCCGAACCTCCCTGGGAAGCGTCCTGGGCCTCACTCCCTGAGGGCCGGGCCCTGCCCTACCCCGACTCAGCTTCTTCCCGGGGCTCCTCCCACTCTGCCCCACTCCCCGTTAACCCTGCCCGGCTCCAGTCTGGGTAGGAATAATCAGGACCAAGCACAGTAGCTCATGCTTGTAATCCCAGCTATTCAGGATGCAGACGTAGGAAGATCCCAGACCAAAACCGGCCTGGGGGGGGGGGGGGGAAGAGGGAAAGATCTCAAAAAGCAAAAGAGACGGGGGCATGACTGAAGCAGTAGAGCACTCATCTGGCAAGTGTGAAGCCTGAGTTCAAGCACGCACCCTTCCCCAGAGTATCAGCATCTTCTGCCCCCCAACTCTGAGACAGGGCACCTCCACCAATCACGACAAGCCCCGCCCCCCACAGAGGCTCCCCCGGCCTCCCCTGACTCCCCGGCCTCCCCTGACTCCCCCGGCCTCCCCTGACTCCCCAGGCCTCCCCTGACTCCCCCGGCCTCCCCTGACTCCCCTGACTCCCCTGACTCCCCCGGCCTCCCCTGACTCCCCCGGCCTCCCCTGACTCCCCGGCCGGGCCTCCCCTGACTCCTCAGCCTCCCCTGACTCCCCCGGCCTCCCCTGACTCCTCAGCCTCCCCTGACTCCCCCGGCCTCCCCTGACTCCCCGGCCTCCCCTGACTCCCCGGCCTCCCCTGACTCCTCAGCCTCCCCTGACTCCCCCGGCCTCCCCTGACTCCTCAGCCTCCCCTGACTCCCCCGGCCTCCCCTGACTCCCCCGGCCTCCCCTGACTCCCCCGGCCTCCCCTGACTCCTCAGCCTCCCCTGACTCCCCCGGCCTCCCCTGACTCCCCGGCCGGGCGGGCCTCCCATGACTCCCCGGCCTCCCCTGACTCCTCAGCCTCCCCTGACTCCCCAGCCTCCCCTGACTCCCCGGCCTCCCCTGACTCCTCAGCCTCCCCTGACTCCCCGGCCTCCCCTGACTCCTCAGCCTCCCCTGACTCCCCGGCCTCCCCTGACTCCTCAGCCTCCCCTGACTCCCCGGCCTCCCCTGACTCCCCGGCCGGGCGGGCCTCCCCTGACTCCCCCGGCCTCCCCTGACTCCCCCGGGCCTCCCCTGACTCCCCTGACTCCCCGGCCTCCCCTGACTCCCCGGCCTCCCCTGACTCCCCGGGCCTCCCCTGACTCCCCTGACTCCCCTGACTCCCCCGGCCTCCCCTGACTCCCCAGCCTCCCCTGACTCCCCCGGCCTCCCCTGACTCCCCCGGCCTCCCCTGACTCCTCAGCCTCCCCTGACTCCCCGGCCTCCCCTGACTCCTCAGCCTCCCCTGACTCCCCGGCCTCCCCTGACTCCCCGGCCTCCCCTGACTCCTCAGCCTCCCCTGACTCCCCGGCCTCCCCTGACTCCTCAGCCTCCCCTGACTCCTCAGCCTCCCCTGACTCCCCGGCCTCCCCTGACTCCTCAGCCTCCCCTGACTCCCCGGCCTCCCCTGACTCCTCAGCCTCCCCTGACTCCCCGGCCTCCCCTGACTCCTCAGCCTCCCCTGACTCCCCCAGCCTCCCCTGACTCCCCGGCCTCCCCTGACTCCCCCGGCCTCCCCTGACTCCCCCGGCCTCCCCTGACTCCCCGGGCCTCCCCTGACTCCTCAGCCTCCCCTGACTCCCCGGCCTCCCCTGACTCCCCGGCCGGGCGGGCCTCCCCTGACTCCCCCGGCCTCCCCTGACTCCCCCGGGCCTCCCCTGACTCCCCTGACTCCCCGGCCTCCCCTGACTCCTCAGCCTCCCCTGACTCCCCGGCCTCCCCTGACTCCCCGGCCTCCCCTGACTCCCCGGCCTCCCCTGACTCCCCGGGCCTCCCCTGACTCCCCTGACTCCCCTGACTCCCCCTGGCCTCCCCTGACTCCCCGGGCCTCCCCTGACTCCCCCGGCCTCCCCTGACTCCCCGGCCGGGCGGGCCTCCCCTGACTCCCCGGCCGGGCGGGCCTCCCCTGACTCCCCCAGCCTCCCCTGACTCCCCGGCCTCCCCTGACTCCCCCGGCCTCCCCTGACTCCCCCGGCCTCCCCTGACTCCCCGGCCGGGCGGGCCTCACCTTCTTCCTCTGCTCCTTCTGCCGCTCCCGGAACTCCTCCAGGCTCCGCAGCTCCTCGCGCAGGGCCAGCGCCAGCTGCATGTGGGCGCTGCCCACGTTCTCCGTCTCTAGGGTCACAGTGGGCCTCAGCCACCCCAACTCCACACGCTGGACCAGCCCAGACGCACACCGCCATGCATCCACCCACCCACCAGGATGGGGCTGGGTTCCCAGGCCATCCCGGGGCGGGGGGGGGGGGGGGGGGGGGGAGGACGAGGAGGGAGGGAGAGGGGGGAGGGGGACTCACGCTGCTTCAGTGCATCAAAGGAAGCCCTGAGGGAGCTGGGAATAGAAAAATTCCTGTCAGCCAGGAGACAGTACTGTGTCCACCTGAAGTGCTGGACTTTTATTCTGGAAGGAAGGCCTGAAGCTATATAGTAGCTCAGACACTGGTTTGCTGTGTGACCCCTGCAGGCTAGTTTCCCTCTCTGGGCCTCAGTTTCTCCTTCAGTGGAATGAGGAGAGAAGCCCGGATGGCAGGGGTGAATCTGGGCACCTCTGTCAGGAGACCCTAGGCCCCTGAAACCTGACCTGAGCTGCACCCCTCATCTGCTCTACCTCAGAGCGCCCTAGGGGGCTGGACCTGGAGATGGGGGTCTCCAGCCGCCACCCCATGGGTTAGCTGATCAGCCCTGGCCCCACTGTGTGGCACCACGAGCCGAAGAGTCAGGCAGTCAGAGGCAGATGGGGAAACTGAGGCCCGGGGATGGCCAGGCTCTCTGGGGTCACCTCCGTGGCTCTCCACAGCCTGTGCAGAGTGGCTCACCTGCCCCCTGCTGGCCATGTGGCCACAAGACATGCACCTCGCACGCGCACGCACGCGCACACACACACACACACACAGAGGCAGGACCATGGGATGCAGACCTCACACCCAGCCGCTGCGGACGGCCCTGGGACTCGGGAGCCCCTCACCCCTGCTGAGTCTGAAGCGGGTGAGGCCCAGCCCCCCAGCCCTTCCAGGAACCCAGACAATTTGCTCTCAACTCTGAACCAAGCTATCTTAATTGTGTGTGTGCATGCGCACCAATCCTTGGATTTGAACTCAGGGCCCAGGCACTGTCTCTGAACTTTTTCACCCAACGCTGGTGCTCTACCACTTGAACCACACCTTCACGTCTGGCTTTTTTTGGCCAGTCCTGGGGCATGAACTCAGGGCCTGGGCACTGTCCCTGAGCTGCTTTTGCTCAAGGCTAGCGCTCTACCACTTGAGCCACAGCGCCACTTCTGGCTTTTTCTGTGTATGTGGTGCTGAGGAATCGAACCCAGGACTTTATGCATGCTAGGCAAGCACTCTACCACGGAGCCACCTTCCCAGCCGCCACTTCTGGTTTTCTGGTGGCTCATTGGAGATGAGCCCCACAGAACTTTCCTGCCCAGGCTGGCTTTGAACCACGATCCTCAGATCTCAGCCTCCTGAGTAGCTGGGATGACAGGCAGGAGCCACAGGCATCGGGCAGGAAGCCTGAATTCTTAGCCCAGCACGGTGAGGGCCGGCCCGGGGTGGGGGAGCCGGCCCTGGGACCCCGCACCCACACACACCTGCCCTGGCGGCCTGGCGCCATTGCCCCAGCCCTGCGCCCAGCGCGCGAGTCGCAGCTCTTACTTGATCTCCGTGTGGCCGCCCGCCTTCCGCGCGATCTGCACCAGCTCCTTCCCGTACCGCTCCTCCGCCTGCGCCCTGCCATGCCAGGCGGCCGAGCTGTGTCACCGCGTCACCCGCCGCCTGCCAGCCCCAACGTGCCCAAGGCAGAGCCCCAGGACCCCCCCCATCGTCCCTCCCACCCCAACATCCTCGGGGCTGCATTCCTGACTGTGGACCTCAAGGAACAACCTGGAACAAATTCTGGCTAAATGCAGGCTGGGCCAGAGGGTGTGTGTGTGTGTGTGTGTGTGTGTGTGTGTGTGTGTGGACTGGGCCTTGAACTCAGGGCATTGGCACTGTCCATTTGCTTTTCCATTCAAGGTAGGTGCTCTACCACTTGAGCTCCGCCTCCAGTGCTGACTTTTGGGTGGATAATTGGAGGAAAGCGCCATGGACTTCAGTAGATGACGGTGGCTCGCGCCTGTCATCCGAGCTACTCAGGAGGCTGGGATCTGAGGATCGGGGTTCAAAGCCAGCCGGGGCAGGAAGAGCCATGACTCTTCATCTGCAAGGAACCACCAGGCAACTGGAAGTGGCGCTGTGGCTCAAGCAATGGACTTTTCTAGCTCAGATTGAGCTAGGATCCTCAGATCTCAGCCTCCTGAGTGGCTGGGATTACAGGCGTGAGCCTCTGGCTTCTAGCATTTGATTCTTTTGTGTGTGCGCCCATCCTGGTGCTTGAACTCAGGGCCTGGGGGCTGCCCTGAGCTTTTTGCTTAAGGCTGGAGCTCTACCACTTGAGTCACACACAGCTCTGCTTCTGGCTTGTTGGTGGTTCATTGGAGATCAGAGTCTCACAAACTTTCCCTGCCCGGGCTGGCTTCAAACCATGATCCTCAGCTATCAGCCTCCTGAGTAGCTGGGATGCCGGCGTGAGCCACCCGGGCCCCGCTTCTCCTGGCTCGTGCAGGCTGGGGTCCCTGCTGGGGCTCCCCACACCCCTGCCCGCCCGGCCCCGCCTGCTCACCTCTGCCTCAGGAGCTCCTCCACGTCTTTGCACATCTTCCTGCCGTCCAGCAGCCGCTGCAGCAGCACCTCGTAACCCGTGTGCGCCGTGAAGTCCCTGCACTGTGACACAGGACGCGTTTGGCTCAGGAGGGCGGCCCCCTCCGGGCAGGGCAGCAGGACGCGGGGGGGCCCTCTCCAGCCTCTTCGTTCTTGGGGTTCAGGCTCTAGACTCACAGGGGCTTGGGTAGCACCGCTGACCGAGCAAAGGTTGCTCTGCCTGGGATCAAGGGGACTTAGGAGAGCCGGGCTCAGTAGCTCACGCCTATAATCCCAGCCACCCAGGAGGCTGAGAGCTGAGGATCACAGTTCAAAGGCAGCCCAGGCAGAGAAGTCCAAGAGACTCTGATCTCCAATGAGCCAGCAAAAAGCCAGAAGTACAGGTGTGGCTCAAGTGGTAGAGCACCAGGGGGAAAAACACTCAGGAATAGCCAGAGGCCTTAAGTTCAAGTCCTGGGACTGGACCAAACAGACAAAGACAGGAATTCGACCCTTGGAGCCCAGCCCTGGGCTGGGCAGTGTCTAGGCCTGGACTGGGCAGGGCCCAGCGGGGAGGTGCCCGCCGCCCCCCTCACCTGGCGGCGCGGGGCGGGGCGCTGCCGCTGCCCTGGGGTCCCTGGGTTCAAAGGAGACGCAGCACCCACACCGGCCATTCCAAGACAGCGCAGGACGGAGCCCGGACGGCAGCTGCCCAGGAACCCGACAGCCGGGGAGCCACCGGCACACGTGATGGAATGTTCCAGAAAGTCCCTGAACTCCACCCCCCCCAGGAGCAGCCCCAGCTCTCCCCACCCAGGAGGTCGGCTCTGACTCATGGCACCGGGCTGGGAGGAAAGAAGGAAGCAGAAATTCCATCCCAGCACACGATCGATCGAGAGGTTCACTGTCCAAGGTCCTCACACACACACACACACACACACACACACACACACACACACACACACACACACACACGGCACCAATCAGCTCCGGGCCAGCCTTCTACCCCCCCCCCCCCCCACACACGCACCTTAGCATCTGGGCGCCCAAATTCTTCCCACAGCTCCCCACTCCTTTGTGAAATTCGAACTCATCAGTGTGGACCGTCTGGGACCAATTTTTCCCCCCCAAGCCAGGGCCCAGTGGCTCACCCCTGTCATCCAAGCTACTCAAGAGGCTGAGATCCGGAGGATCACAGTTCCAGGCCAGCCCAAGGCACCTGGGAGGAATCCCTTCCCAGCCCATAGCCGGCGCGGGCAGTGCGTGGCTATGGGACAGAGGATCCGGGTCTGCCTGCCACCTCCCGGTGGAAGGAAACCGGGCGTGGCGGCTCACGCCTGTAATCCCAGCCACAGTGGAAGGAACAAAATAGGCAGATTGCAGTCTAGGCAAAAATTGCAACCAGAGGCCGGGGGAGCGGGGGAGAAGGGGGACCCACAGAGACCACACACGGGAATTCTGGCCGTCCTGTTTCCAGAAGCAGCGTTTGCGCTGGCTCTGTTCTGGGTGGATCTGGGGGTGCCCGTTACCCCAGCCCCGCTGTGCCCCCCGGCTGGACAGAAGCGCAGCTCCATGGCCACGGACGCCTCCTCCTCTTCCTGCGTGAATCACGTTTGGCTGTTGGGGCAGAGCGCAGAGCCCGGCCTGACCTTTCCTTCATGGAGGATGGTGGAGGGCAGAGGCCGGCCCGGCTTAGTCTTCCCCTGGTTATGGGGTGCTGCCTTCACTGTGCCCCATACCGGTGAGCTGACTGACACCAGCGGCTCACGCCTGTAATCCCGGCAACTCAGGAGGCTGCGCTGTGCGGATCACAGTCTGAAGCCATCTCCAGCAGCTCAGGGACGGCGCCCCGGCCCCGCGTGTAAGCCCCGGATGGGCACGCACGGGCCCTGTGCACACACACCGATCGGACCTTACCCTGGTGACAGTGGCCATCGGCCAGGGGCCGTGCAGCATCCAGGTCAGGGCTGTGTGTGTGTGCGCAGTGGCTGAGCCTGGAACTCACTCAGGGCGGGCACTGACCACTTGAGCCGCAGCCCCACTTCCGGCCTTTTGCTGATTCATTAGAGGTAAGTGTCTCTCAGATCTGTCTGCCCGGGCTGGCTTTGGACCGCGATCCTCAGATCTCAGCCTCCCCGAGTAGCTAGGGTGACAGGCGTGAGCCACCCGGGCCCGGCTGAGCAATAACTTATGCCTTAAAATAAACACAGCCATCGTTTATTCATGTCCTGGTCCCAAATCAACAACAAAAAGCATCGTTTGGTGGTGGGAGCAGACGCAGCAGGGGCAGCTAGGCCTGCTGCCTCTCACCCTGAAGCCTGAAGCCTTGGCCAGGCCCCTCCACACCCACCATGGTGCCTGCGCCTGAGTTTCGCGCCTCCTGCAGCCAGAGTGGCTGCCGTTGCTCCCTCACTAGCAACTGCCTCCCTCTTGCCTGTGGCCATGAGAAGAACCATGAGGGAAACCGAAGCAGGGGTGCTTCGCTCTGGAGAAGGCAGCCCCGGGGAAGGTGAGGGGGACAGAGCTACCTGGCTCTTTGAGGGGCCCCACACAGCGGCTGTGCACAGCAAGGCTTACCCCTGGGTGAGCATTTAGGGGCCCTGCAGAGGGCGTGGCTCCGTCACCGCTGGCTTGGGGTGTCATCCGCTGTCACTGGTGTCACTGTGGTTATTATTACAATCACTATCAGTGCTGTGATTGGTGGAGGTCCTGGGAGTGGATTCAGTGCTCGCTGGGCAGGCGCGTGACCACTCCAGTACTACCGCACTCTTATTTTGAAATAGGTGGGGGCCACGGCCAGCCTGGACCTCCCTCCTCCTCTTCCTGCTCCCTGCACAGCTGCCACCACAGTCAGACAGCACCGCACTGGTGCCCTGGTGGGATGCGGGAGGCTGGCCTCACACCCCCATCCTCCTTACCCTCCTGCCTCCTGAGCACGGGGACCCCGCCCCGCGGGGGCAGGAGCTGCTCCATCCTGCACAGACCTGCCTGGGGCGCGTCGCCGCTGACGGTCAAACCCAGGAAGGCCAAGGCCCAAGCACGGAGGAATCGCTTGGATGGATGGACAGACGGATGCACGGATGGACAGATGGATGCACGGATGCTCAGGATTCAGTTAAAGCCAGTGGCTCACGCCTGTCATCCTAGCTACCTAGGAGGCTGTGAGATCTGAGGATCACGGTTCAAAGCCAGCCCAGGCAGGGAAGTCCGTGAGACTCTGATCTCCAATGAACCACTAGGAAACTGGAAGTGGCGCTGTGGCTCAAGCGGTAGAGCGCTGGGCAGTGCCCAGCCCCACACACACAAATGATGTGGTTCTAAAGTGGGCGAGAAGAGAGACTTCCCCAAAGAAGACACTGAAGTGACCAACAGGCGCGTGGAAGGACACCCAGTGTTACTCATGAGAAATGCAAATCAAAGCCGCCATGCCTCCACGCTGGAGCGAGAAGCCGCTGAGTCTCAGCAACGATACACAGACCCGCCAGCCGCGGGCGGCCGCAGGAACGGAGCAGGTGTGGCTGCTGCCAGACAAGAACAGAAGGGACGCCCACCGCAGAACGCGAGGCCGGTGCGGGCTGCGCCCCAGCCCGGCTGCAGCAGGCGGAGGGCGGAGGACCGAGGTTCAAAGCCAGCCCGGGCAGGAAAGGCCAGGAGACGCTCATCCCCAGCGAGCCAGCCAAAGCCAGAAGGGACGCTCAAGAGGTCGAGCGTCTCCAGGGCTTGAGACAGTCCATTCACAGCAGCTGGAGAGAGGAAATGGCAGGTCCATCGATGGCTGAAGCCGTAGATGAAGACACACACACGCACACGCGCGCGCACACACACACGCACACACACACACACGCACATGCACACACACACGCACACACACACACACGCACACACACACACACGCACACACACACACACGCGCACACACACACACACACATGCACACACACACGCACACGCACACACACACACACGCACACACACACACAACGGAATAGCATCAAATATACAGGAAATTTCCGCCAAATGAGCCTTAGATACCCCACCGGGCTGGGCACAGTGGCTCACTCCTGTAATCCCAGCTACTCAGCAGACATCAGCAGGAGGTCATGGCCCAGGCCTGCCTGAACGAAAATGAAAGACCTCGTCCGAGACACGCACTTGCCAAGCAAAAGGCCCCGGGTTCAAACCTCAGTACTGCCCCAAACCACACACTACACCAACACAAACAACACAGGCAGGAAAGGATCAACACTGCTATTTCTAAGATAGTCAAATCCAGAGACAAAGTGCAAACAGAGCTCGGATGGGGGGCTGGGGAGAGAATGCCCCCTAAAGCCATCGGGGGAGGCCGGCTATGGTGGAGGCATACTAGAAGTTGGTGGAAGCTTTAGGGGGTGGAGCCTAAGCGGAAGGAAGTTAAGTCATTGGGAGGAGGGGTCCTTCAAAAGGATACTGGGCTAGCTGCTCAGGAGGCTGAGATCTGAGGATCACGGTTCAAGGCCAGCCTGGGTAGGAAAGTCTGTGAGACTCTGATCTCCAATAAACCACCAGAAAACCGGAAGTGGCGCTGTGGCTCAAGTGGTAGAGCGCTCGTCTTGAGCTGAAGAGCTGAGGGACAGCGCCCAGGCCCAGAGTTCAAGCCCCACGACAGGCAAAAGCAAAAAACAAAGGCAATGCTGGTGTCCAGGCCCCCCTGGCAGAAATCAGACAGGATGGAGTTGAGCTAGAGGCTGCTCCGGACACTCGGAAGCGGAGGCTGGGGCGGTAGAGGATCCCACACAGGCTGCACCCTGCGGCCGGCCGCACCCCACGCCCACCCTGCGCTGCCCCTGCGTGCCAGGAGCCTCAGCTTCCGCTTCCTGTGATCATCCCCCCCCCCCCCCAGCTGGCTACTTCCTGTTGCCCAATGTCATGTGGCTTGTCCCCAGCAGCGCACGGAGAGAAAGTGTCACCACCAGCCCCATCTGTCACCACCGCCACCCCGAGACCCTTCCCGAACCCACAGGCACAGAGCTGCGCACAGCCCCCCCCCCCCCTGTGGGGCATTTCCTCTCTGGAGAACAGAGCTAAGAACAGCAAAGGCTCGGTAA